TAATTTTACGGATATGATAGTAGCAGAATGTTGGCGCCACTGGAAGCAATAGATTGCAGGAACTTTTCCAGCAGCCTACGTATTAGACTGATAATAAAAAAATTTTTTTTTAATTAGCCTCAGATCAAAAGTTTCCATTTCATGTCAAAAGAACACTTCTAAATTTTTATTTAAAAATATTAAGATTTAGAGGTCACTAGTAAACAATTTTTAAATCAAAATTTCGATTTTCCTTAATACATTTGATTTAATGCAAAAATGACGTAATCCGAATTTTAAATGTGATAATGTACGTTTTTTTGATCGCTGGACATGATGTAATAATTCATTTATTTAGCTCTACGATATACGCCTTAAGAAGTACAGTACCGATTAATGTGAAAAAATAATCAAATTTCGAGTTCAAGGAAATGAAATGAAATGAGTAAATAATACAAAAAAAAAGATTTAGTTAATTGAAATAAACTACATATAAAGTAGTATAATATTTTTTATTATGTATTCATTTTATTTTATAATAAAGATTTTTTATTGTCAAATTGAGACATTTGATTTGAGGATGTTAAAATAGACAAGCGATATATTCTAAAACTAAAAGAAATTTTTCTATCCTTAAAAACATTTTATAATCCAGTTAAATGCAACTTTTAAAGGCTCTGCAGGAGGTTCCATGTAGGAGAAAAAAAATTCCAACTGGATCTTGTTCTGGATAAATAGATCTATTGTATAATTTGTAAGAAGTAACGATCCATCTGAACACTTGGAAGTTATGGAATTAAGGAATGGATTAAGTTATAGAAATTATAAGTCCTAGATACGTGGTCTGTTCAAAAAGTATCGCGAATTTTGAATTTCCGCGGGTTACGTATATTCGATTTTCGATTTTTTGTGGCGTTATGTTGGTACTCATGTCTCTCACTTATGCCGACAAGTTCGGCCATTTTGAATGTTCAGTTAATTTTTGACAGCTGCTTTGCTTGCATGTGCTTTGGCTCGTCTTCGATTTTTGCCTATTCCAAAAAATGGATCAAAGAATCTGTATCAAATTTTGTGTGAAAAACAAAATTAAGTGCGCGGACGCATTCCGAATGTTGACTGTGGCATATAGTGAAGCTACCTTGGACCGAAGTAACGTTTATCGGTGGTACAAAATGTTCTCAGAGGGCCGAGAAGATGTGAACGACGAAGAGCGTGCCGGACGCCCGAGCACGTCAACAACAGACGAAAACATTGATGAAGTGAAGAAAATAGTATTGGCCAATCGTCGAATCACCGTTAGAGAGGTTGCTGAGGACCTAAACATATCGATTGGCTCGTGCCATTCGATTTTTACCAATGATTTGGGCATGAGACGGGTCGCCGCGAAATTCGTACCAAAATTGCTCAATTTCGACCAAAAACAGCATCGCATTAACATTGCTAAGGAGCTGTTGGACTCTGTCCGCGACGACCCAAATTTGCTCCAGAGGGTCATAACTGGTGACGAATCATGGGTTTATGGTTATGACGTGGAAACCAAAGCTCAATCATCCCAATGGAAGCTGCCGCACGAGCCAAGACCGAAAAAAGCGCGCCAAGTTCGGTCGAATGTGAAGGTTTTGCTTACAGTTTTCTTCGATTGCAGGGGCGTGGTGCATCATGAGTTCTTGCCACAGGGTAGAACGGTCAATAAGGAATATTACCTGCAAGTTATGCGCAATTTGCGCGAAGCAATCCGCCAGAAACGCCCGGATTTGTGGAAGAACAAAAATTGGCTTTTGCACCATGATAACGCCCCTGCTCACACATCGTTGCTTGTGCGCGAATTTTTGACCAAAAACAACACACTAATGATGCCGCAGCCACCGTATTCCCCAGATCTGGCCCCCTGTGACTTTTTCTTGTTCCCGAAACTGAAGAGGCCCATGAAAGGACGACGCTACGCTACGATTGAGGAGATAAAGACGGCATCGAAGGAGGAGCTGAACAAGATCACAAAAAATAATTTTTTGAAGTGCTTCGAGGATTGGAAAAAACGTTGGCACAAGTGTATAATATCTGATGGAGATTACTTTGAAGGGGACAAAATAGATATTCATGAATAAATAAATAATTTTTGAAAAAACACAAAATTCGCGATACTTTTTGAACAGACCTCGTATATACGTTTGTTACAGAGAATAATATTTTTTTATAGTTCTTACAGAGAATGATATACATCCTAGCTGTATATACAGATGTATATACAGGGTGTTCCCGGGTTAAATTGTTAAATTTAAAATATAAATTCAGGATCTCAAAACAAACAAAAATTTTCTCTGCATGTATGCTCGAAAATGTTTCGTTCAAGAGATATTTACTTCTAAAGTTACAGAACTGTAGAAATGAATAATTGAAACTGGACGTCAACGATGGCAACGACGATGCCGGACGAAGACGACAACGATGACGATGTCGAACAATGACGACTATGTCGCCGGACGACGATGATGATAACAACGCCAGACGACATCCAGATGTTCATCATCGAGAAAGTCAATGTCCAGATATTCGCCTCCGACAACCAGGTGTTGTCTACGTCGCCGTCAGGAAATCGACTATTCAGGTGTCGTTTAAGTGTTCAACAAAGAATCAAGAGTTTATGTTTTTCTCCGAGAAAATGAGAATCCAGTATATTGGGCATCAACGAAGAGGATGTTAGGATATTGCTCGCAGAAGTTACGAATATCTTGTGAATTCCTCCGAGGAAGTGAGTGTTCAGATATTCCGGGAGAATTTTTCGACCATCACCTACACAGCCTAAGGATCGCTGTCGAGGAAGTCGGTGTCTTTTCACCGGATGTTTTTTCACCAGAAAAGTTCATGTCCTGATTCACGACTGTGCATAAAATGTATAAAAAGAGATATTGAATACAATTATGATTCGATATTATTAAATCATAATTTTATGATCCGATGCATCCCTAGTCATGACCTTAATAACATATGTCAGGATCATTGAAATCGATGAGATCGTCGGTGATATGCAGTTTTATCGAAACTATAAATCTACAAGACTTTCAGTAGATGTTAAGTGACTTTAATAATAATTTAATTATTAAACGCCGAGAATTATTATTCAACGTATCTACGGAAAAAACAACAGGAAATTTCATACGAGCGTGAAAACAATTAGTGTATAAATTTAACAGTGTATAAATATGCCCAGAATATTATTTGCAATCGTTTATTGGTGAAGTACAAAAGACGGTGAAAAGATATGCTGATCCAAGCGAATTACAATCTAAAATCGAAGGCAAAGTTGAAAGCAAATAAGATACAAAAGAAGAGAAACGTAATAGCGAAATTATCGACAAAGATAAAAAAAATTCGAGGAAATGAAGAAACACTCGGACGATTATTGTTAACACCTCACCAACAATATTGCAAATATTCTGGGCATGTTTATACACTTTGTTACTACTTGGCATCTGAAGTTAACGCCCAACATTGAAAGATAAACAAAAAAATCTGTTGGACTTTATTAAGTAAAAACTACACTTACTAGTTAAATGGAAATAAAATATTTCAGACAATTATATGATTGCAGAACAAAAACTCTATAATAAATAAAAATATTCACTCACTTACGATTTTTTTAAATTGTAGTGTAATTTCTAATACAGACGCATCCGCCTCGTGATCTCACAGCAGATTGAGCGGCAGTCGCCGCTGCGTGTTCAGACATGTTTACGTGTGTCTCGAGTGATTTGTTTATAACGTAGCCTCGATTATTCTACTTACTCCTATAGTTTACTAACCCCAGTCTTTCCTACTGGAACTCTTAAAAAAATTTTTTATCACCTATAATATTAAATGTATATTTTGCAAAACTTTTTAAGAATTTAAGGCTCCTGAGTCAGCATGCGATTCAAAATCAATCGGCGGCCTGGCGAAATGTGACGAAATCGGTAGCCACACACATACAAGCACGAACCCATGAAATTTTATACGTAAAAACGTATATTTCATTCATTTCAATAGTTGTTCAAACCGTGTGTTTCTGTCCGAAATTAGGCTCACTTTACTTGCCTTTTATGATTACTTACTGACTATTAAGGGAGAAAAGGATAGTTTCTACCTATTTTTACAGGTATTTTAAAGCAATCTCGTCATTTAGATTTATCCAAATTATCTTTATTTACAAATGGCTTGCAACATAAATTTACGTGTCATTCCTCGCTTCTGACGTCACGATTCCAACATGGCCGCCACAACTACTCCGGAGCCTTAAGTAGTTCTGATTAGAGTTCTAGATAATTCTCGACGAGTTCTATCAAAAAGTATCAGATCACAAAGCAATCGGACTAACGGTTTGCAAAATACAAGACATTTGATAATCGAAATTTTTCTAAGTCTGACGTCGAAAATTTTTTTAAAAGTTTCGGTAGTTCTGATTAGCGTTCTGAATAATTCTCATCGAGTTCTATCGAAAAGTATTAGGTCACAAAGATGGTTATATTTATAAAGAGATATGTGCTTTTACAACCAATTTTTCAAATTTTGTTTTAAGTACATATCTCTTATTTTGGGGTCTGTTGATTTTAATCGCTGAGAACTCTTCGAAATAGATAAATGGCAATTAACGTGTGACAGAACTACTGTATAAAAAAATTTTTGTTTCAAAAATTTTTTTATAAATTTTGTTGTGTCAAAATTGTTTTTATGTATCAGGAACTCTAGGTATTCACAAAATAGAGCTATTAAGCTGCTCAGAATTATTCGATCTCGAATTTTGATAAGAAGTCAGATAGCCAAGTCTGTAGAAAGCGGATTTTTTAAATGTCTGCTACACACTATATCAATAAAATAACAGCATTAGATGTACATAATAATGTTGACAGACTGTTAGAAAAAACGTAACGTAATGTAACGTAAAATCTGTAAGCAGATAAACATAAATAACAGACTGGAAAAAGAAACAGAGCAGATTTGTGGCATAATCTGATAGTATATTGTCTACAGAAACCAAGCACATCCTATCGACATCACCTAGCACTAAACTGTCAACAGAAACCACCCAGATCCTGTTCTGGCACGATTTGACAGCAGATTATTGATAGAAACTCAACAGATTCTGGGACAATCTGTCGACAATCAATTATCAATTGTCAATTTCTGCCGACATTCTGCTGTCAGGTCGTGTCAGAGCAGGATTTACATCGTTTTTACTGACAGTCTAGCGTCAGATAATGTCAGCAAGATCTGCTTAGTTTCTGCCAACAATTTGCCTTCACATTATGTCGACAGGCGATGTTAACAGAACATAAGCCTAATGCGGACGCAATTGACGGCA